TGGCTTACAGTAATGTTATATAGGGATTATGGCCGAGCCTGAGGGAATGATCTGTTTCAGCTGTCTCTTGTAGCTTTCTATAATTCATGATATTGTAGTTCTGTCAATAAAACAGCAACATGGGATCCATAAATAGCCAGATCTAGATCGTGTACAGTGAAAGAATCGACATACTTTAATGCGTTTTTTTTAGAAATATTTGGGGGGGGGGGCGGATTTGCAGATATAGATTTGTCGTTATCTCTTCTTAATTTTAATATTTTTTCTTAAATGTAACACTCAATAGTTGAACACAGTAGACGAACTGCATTGGTGTATAATTGAGCAAGATTGTAAGAAACTAGTAGATACTTAGCAGAGTTTAAGATTTCAATAAAATTCCCTATCCATTCAGGAAGTATTTTTATCAACTAACCAAAGTTTCACGTCGACCAGATGAAAGGTGCAGCCATACACAAACGGCACACACACAGACACACACAGCCACACACACACACAGACACACACAGACACACACACACTCACAACACACATACTTTCATTTTTATGTGTATAGACTACACGACCCGAAACCCTATTTTGCTAATTAAGTCGAGATGTCTGACGAAGTCTAATTTACCTAATTGACTAGTTACTCGACATTAGACAATTCTCGTCGCGAACCTTACACTTTACTCCCGTTCGCGCATGCGCCAAGATGGCCGTCAGTCGTTGGTAGAGCTCTTCATTCAGAGTCAACAAGTTTTTGACCAGATTTTTGTCGCGTGGTGGCCTAGGTCACCTGAGTCATGACGTGTCACACAATATGATGACGTTTCTCACACAAGGCTCGCGTGCACGGAATCACTTGATAACCTCGCGGTTGAGTTGTCTGACGTCACGTAACGGAACTTATAAGGTACCGAAAAAAATTTCGCTCGTATAAAAAAATATTTCCTGCGGCCAATCAATGTTCACTAATATTTAATCTTCATGACCGGCGAATGTGTTTTTGACCACACCCAATCAATATACCTGCATATCATAGCATTTCTATTTATGCCTTGCTGGTTCAAATCTCAAATCATTGTTTTATATCGCATTGGTGGCATTTCCTTTTTTAAAATAAATCAATTTCGTTTGTTTTATTTAAGCGGGATAAATGGACTTGTACAGCAGTTTTAGAAGAGAAACTTGAGTAGGTTTTTTTTAAACGTTGACATTTTTAAAATTTTGCCTGTTTGCAAAAAACAAATATTATGGTAAAATTCGTCCCGATTGGGAGCAAGGAGAGTTTCTTTCAGACATATTTTTTTCTCAAGGAGGGGTGCACTTAAAGTTTCCGCTTGTGTACAATCGTTACAGTTTTAATTTTCTGTATAAATTGTGTTATCTGTTTTATAAGGGGGGGGGGGGGCTGTGGGCGTTCTAAGGAGGCCATTTCCCCCCCCCCCCCCCCCCGCCCACCCCACCCCTTACCGTGAGATACATGAAAGAAACAACTAGACTAACTAGAGCCATCTAAATGTGTGCGCGAGTGCAGCATATCAGGAAAGTACATTCTTACTGATATTGTTTACCTAGGCAAGTGTATACAAATCACAACTGATCTGCATCGTGTATAGATCGATTAATCGATATCCGTTCACAACCAACTAGGTTCGGCTGACCCTAAGATTTTTGGCAGCCCCCCCCCCCCCCCCCACATCCCCCTCCTCTCACGACTTGTGTCTACCCTGAGCTAATGACCAGTTCCTGAGCTAACAACAGAATTTAGACGTTATTAGTGTCTGGGATTGTTGCTGATTGGTTGGTATTTTTAGACAAGTCGTTTGATTAGATCAGTTCGTAAATGGACGCTCAAGAGGTCGAAGATTGGACAAAATCTAGACTGCCCGAGAAATGGACAATTTGAAGTTTCGCCTGCTGAAAAGTTGACAAATAAAAAATCACTTTCTTAGAATTGGATAAAATAAATATCACTAGCTGAGAAGTATACTAAAAAATATCATCAACTGAGGAATGGATAAATATAAGTATCGCCGGCTTAGAAAAAGACAAATGTAAGTATCGCCGGCTGAAAAAAGGACAAATATAAGTATCGCCGGCTTAGAAAAGGACAAATATAAGTATCGCCGGCTTAGAAAAGGACAAATATAAGTATCGCCGGCTTAGAAAAGGACAAATATAAGTATCGCCGGCTTAGAAAAGGACAAATATAAGTATCGCCGGCTTAGAAAAGGACAAATATAAATATCGCCGGCTGGGAAAAGGACAAATTAAAATATCACTTGCCCAGAAATTGACAAATAGTAGCATCACTAACACAGATTTGGACAAGGAAAACGACAACTCCTAGACTCCATGCTGTAACCTACATACCGACAAACCTGTGAAGTACCAGTAAACGGAAATGGAATATTCTAGAAACCAGTCTGAGATCAAAGACTGGTCCCACCGTGTTCTTAATTGCTAGTGTTTATTATATTTAAAGACAAGTGTTTAGATGTGTAATAAATTCTAGAAACGTATGACATAAACTTAGGGAGAGAATGCAACGTCTGAGTGCCCATTTCCCACGTTACATTTTGAGCCCAGATTTAATAAAATGTCATCCAATTTACACTTCAATCTATTTTTGTATCTATCTATGTCTTTTATCAAGAGAAGTTTTTTTTTCTATTTCTATAAAATTAGGAATTCCCTGAAACATTTTAACTTTAAATTCTCAACAACGAAAAATGAAAGATAGAAAAATTTCAAGAAAGAAAAAAAAAACATTATTCTGGTTTCAGCAGAGAATATATGCATGTGAAACAGATTCTAGCGAAAGATGAGAATGGAATTCTGGAAAAATACTTTGTGTTTTTTTGTCAATGGTTTAACATCGGTGAAAGCTGTCGCTCAATAGACATAGCTATTTATAGAGCTAAATGGACATTACGAATATTTCGCTGTAAAGCCTGGGTTTCGATACCGGGATTTCCAGGGCGTCAAGTGTGCGTTCTACTTCTAGACCACGCCATTCCACGTAAATACATGGTAATAAAATGGTAATAATCTTGTTATTTATCGTCGATTTTTAATTTTCTTACAAAGGTTTAACTGTTAAATTTATATAAGCTTTCATAAACATCTCCATTTTAAGTTATAGGACTGAATGACCGAATGGACGTGAAAATTCCCATCCGGATATACGTCTGGAACACTGACCAAGATCGATTGTATTTATCGTGGATAGGTCAATGACCTTTACATGTCTGATGAACTGACCAAGATTGATTGTATTTATCGTGGATAGGTCAATGACCTTCACATGTCTAGGGTGAACTGACCAAGATTGATTGTATTTATCGTGGATATGTCAATGACCTTCACATGTCTAGGGTGAACTGACCGAGATCGATTGTATTTATCGTGGATATGTCAACGACCTTTACATGTCTGACGAAGAAAACCGTGAAAAAAATTGCAACAAGAACGTTAATAAATATAAGGAAAAGTTCTTGTCACGTGACCTACCACCCCCTCACCCCCACCCTTTCCATCTGTCGAGGTCAACAGCTTTGTTACCTGGGATGTGTTTGACCTAATTATCAGGGTCAACATTAACATGGACGTCGGGCCCAGCTGGGAGAGGAAATCCTGTTCTTTGATACGTATTCGACGAAGTGTTGTCCGACACCATGACCCCCCCCCACACACACACGCACATTCACAAGTCAACACACATTTTACTTTTATCCCAAAACACACTCACAACCCCACACACGCACCTCGTTAAAAGAGCCTATATATATATATATATATATATATATATATATATATATATATATATATATATATATATATATATATATATATATATATATATATATATATATATATATATATATATATAGGTCCCAAATCTCGGCTTAAAAAGAATCGACGTTGTGATGAAAACCAAATTTCTGGAATTAAAGGAATATACAGACATACGGAGCAATTATTTGCCAAATCGATGGGAGATTATCGAATCTATACACGGGTCAGCATAATTGGTCCACTTCCAAGTCAATGACCTCTTATCAAATGGATATCGCTGGTACATTTTGCGTGGTGTGTGTGTGTGTGAGTGTGTTTGTGTGTGTGTGTGTGTGGTTGTGTGTGTGTGGAGATGGCGGAGGGGCAATCACCTACCTTGACAGACTTGCGCTAGTATAAATACTGCACGTAACGTGGGTTAAGAGCGCGATACTTGATGACTGATGAATGGGGACTAGGAGATGATGAAGAGGGCCATGACCTAGGTCAATGACCCACTGGTCGATGACTAAATGAAAGTTGACTAAATGAATGATGACAAATTGGTCAATAACTAACTGGGCGTTAACGAAATTGTTCATTACCTACTGGTTGATGACCTACCGGTCAATGACCTGCTTGCCGATAACGAAATGGTTGCTGACCTACTGGGTGATGACCTACTGGTCGATGACCTGCTTGCCGATAACGAAATGGACGATGACAAGCAGAAGATGTCAATGTAATCTCCCACACAAACATTGTGATAATCTTTTCTTATCTGTTAAAGTATTGTATTCTCTGATGTATCACGCCTTGATTAATAATTAATTACGTTAATTGTTTGTAACATAATGGTTACGGTGCCATTTACTGATATATATATATATATATATATATATATATATATATATATATATATATATATATATATATATATATATATACGTGGCCGTACTCTAAATTATTAAACAGAAAGCGACAAGGAAAATTATCTAATCAACTTTATCGAATTAGATTTACAATTGTGTTTTGGTTAGGCTTGAGGCTGATTTTAATATCTATATCTTTCAGACTTTCGATGAGAGTTTGAATAGTAAAATCGTACACGTTAATTGATTACATTTCTCCTTTTTTTTCTAAATTGTAATGTTGGTCGGGATTTCCTCCATTACCTTTAACTTTAAGTAGTACGTGTCAACCTTACTACATCGACTTATTTCTCCCACGTTCAGATTCGTCACGCTCTGATCACCCTCGTCGTCCTCACCTTGACCTTGCACCTGGCCACCGCGCGCGCCTCCACCAGCCTGGAGTGCAACCCCCGCAGCGCCAAGATGAGCTGTCTGATGGGCTGTTTCGGCTGCTTCGAGGCCTTCGGTGTGGAGCTCTACGACATGGCCGCATGTTGCCGGGACTGCCGGCTGACCAACGCGGAGATTATCGACGACGGGCCGTCCCGATGTTCACGAGACTACATCCGCCGCAGCTGGCTCAAGCGTATCGGGTGAACCAGGGGATGTTGTAGTTGTGTCCCTTTGTGGTGTTTTTCAGAGGTGAATAAGGCTATGGGAGTTGTTTCCCATGGTGAACTTTTCAAGAAAGGATGTTATAAATCTGGCTCGCTGGGGAATGCGATTTAATTTATTAATAAAAAAAAAACATTTAAAATAATGTATCAGTGTCTTTCTTTTTAAATAGTGTTTGTTTTTCCGGTCATAACTTAATGTTTTTTTTAATGTTTTAATTAACTAATATGATCTTTTTTTAAAATGTGACTGTCTCTTACTTTTAAAATAGTGTTTGTTTTTCCGGTTACAACTTAATAATATTTTTTTTAAAATTTAAATGTATTAATTTAATTTTTTTAATGTTTCTGTCTCTTTCTTGTTAAATAGTGATTATGTTTAGTTAGTTACACATTAGAGCTGGGTGGACTCATGAAAGTTTTACTCAGTTGAACCCGGATTCGAACTCGAGACTTTCGGGTTAGCAGTCTAACGCCTCGCACGCTTAAAATGATAAAAAAGTAAAGTTACTCTATTAAACCAGGCGGTCAGTGAGGTAGATGAAGTAGAGTTAACCTGTTTCTGTGACCTCGGCCTACGCTGAAATGTGTGTGTTCATTAGTTGATCCAGCCTCCTTTATTTCCTTAAAGTCAGTCAGTTAGCCATCAGAGATAAGTGAATATAGGTCTCCAACGCGGTATCCGAACTCGAGATTGTCGTGTTAGCAGTTGTGTGCTCTACAGTCCGACCACGCCGTACTATTTAAAGTGCTAGTATCAGCCTAGTAACTTCCTTCAAAATATTGGGGGTGGGGGGGGGGGGGGATGGGCACCTGTCTATAACTTACAGAAAGTTGTTTTTTTTTTTCTAGATCTGTTAGTACATTTTGTGGCAACGAATGCCTATGCTTCAAATGTTCTAGATGAGCTACGCATTGGGGAAAATATGAAGGTGGCCTTTCTATAAAAGTGGCCTAGATTGCCTTATCCATACAAATGGCCAATGTTGGCTTTTCCATAAAAGTGGCCCAGGTGGTTTAAGTTGTCCTCTATGGACGTAACATCGCCTCTAGTTGAAATCACGAACACGTCAAAAGACAACTCAATACAAAGTGGTACAAAGGCAGAGTGTTCAAATACCTAGTACGACGTGCAGTTATCGTACCAACTCCCTAAAGTATGGACCAGTAAAGTTATTTTAAAAGATTTAAATGGCAACACTATGACTGCAATATCAAAATTAAATCAATTTTTTCGTGTTGTTAAAAATGTATAAAATTTCACAAAACTCACAGAGCTCAAAATTCCTATAAAAAAATTGTATTTTTATATATTATTTAGAAAATTACTAGTAAAATCTTTTATATAATATATCACATTCAAAATTCTGTAAGCTATATACATGCTCTATATACATATTGAACTAAAACGAATGTTATTTATCTAATCATATACAAGATACAAATATAGAATAAATAGGTTTTCAATAATCGAACTTTGTAAACAATGTCACGTGGTCATACTAAAGTCGCGTGCTGGACTCTCCGTTAGCTTGCCTGTCTGACGTGGCCCCAGTGTCTGTCTTCTCGGTAGAGTCTGTCTGGAACCGCTTGCAGAAGAAGACTTTCTGCATGGCGCGATCATAGGGTTCTAAAGACCGTAGCGGCTGGGGTAGGAACATCCAGTCTTGGAGCTTCTGGGCAGGCTCTGGGGACGTTTAGCCTGCAGGCATTTGATGACGCCGATGATGATGAAGAGAAGGCAGACGGGCCCGAGGACGCCGAGGAGGACGTACCAGCCCGGGATGGAGAGAGCGAAGACTAGGGCGGGGAAGAGGAAGAACATGAGGAGGATGTAGACGATGGCGAACCAGCGGTACTCGGCCGTGCAGTTGCCTAGAAATTTGGCAAGCGGGATGGGGAAGCGGAGGTAGGGGATGGGGTAGAACAGGAGGATGCCGGTGATGTTGAAGAAGAGGTGGCAGAAGGCTGCTTGTAACGCGTTTTTGAGGCCGTCCGTATTGGCTAAGGCTGAGAGAATCGCCGTGGTCGTGGTGCCGATGTTTGACCCCAGGTTCAAAGGGTACATCCGGTCGAGTTCGATGACCCCGATGCCGACGAGCGGGGTGAGAGTGGAGGTGAAGATGGAGGAGCTCTGGACGATGATGGTCAACCCGGCGCCGATGATGATGGCGAGGTATCCGGTGAGTTAGCCCAGCGGTCCGGGAAAGTCCGCGTTGATGAATTTTTTGATGATGAGAGCGATGGGACCTTGGAGAAGGGAGTGCAGCAGTTTGACAATGGCGACCAGACACAGGCAGAGAATGGTAAGGGAGATAACCAGCATGATCGCTCCGATAGCTTTGTTGTTTAATGTCAAGTACATTCCCTTGAATAAAAACTCACCCAAAGGTTAAGATATAATAAATCATATATTACAAACATCATAGTTGCATTCAAAAATAGTATTTTTTTTTTAATTGTGTCAAAAACATTTTTATTATATATTTTATATTCATATAAAGAAAACTTTGATTTTCGTGAAATATAAAAGAAATATAAATAACTTAAAAAACATAACAGCTTGGGTTGAAGCTTGTATTTATCTTACATAACCACTTTTCTAATCGATTTTTTAAAATGTTAATTTCATATAGAATCTAGATAAATACCCAACCTTACGATAACTTAAGCACAGGGGTCGGCAACCTTTAGAGACGGAATAGCCAAAAGGTACAATTTACAAATTATCCCAGTTTTGAAAGAGCCACAAATATTATTTTTTACAATATGTTGGTATTTGATAAGGATTAGGTAAATACATTTGACTTTGATTTGAAATAAATAGCGCTAAATATGAACTTATTATTTCATTTAAGAACAAACACATGTTTCGCACAAAAACTGTTTTCGATAGATCTGATACAATAAAATTAGAAATCACATAATATAACTATAGGACTATCCCAATCCACTTTAGAAGCCAATAACTTTTTTTTTCTTTCTTTACGGACACCACTGGTTCAGTAGGTATCTTTCATAGCCATGCAGGCCTCAGCACGGCAAACTCCGTCTAACTGGTTTGGATATCGGTTTGATTACTGTATCGGTCGCTTCTGTCTTTCGGTTCTCACAAGGCTTATCTTTCACCCCACGCGAACCCAGAGTCCAGTACCTTATAGCTCAACCGTAGGAAACTAATAACTAACATACTTCGTCACTCAGGTCAAATAATTGCATACTGACACATAGAGCAGGGTCTCCAAACTTTTCAGCCCAAGGGCCGCTTTAACTTTCAAATATTAGTTCGGGGGCCAGAATGTCTTCCAGGCATCTCAATCCCACGAAGATCGTCTACCGTCTTCCCCCTCCCAACGATATTAAATTTATATATAACTTTCACACAACTTAGCCATCTTACTGCTGTGAAATGTGGTAATTCTTGCGATTCTGTGTTTGTATCTTTCAACATGTCTCTGAACTATCTATGGATGAGCCCATGTGAACTTATTAAATTCACCATCTTCACCACAGGATTCATTACACTGCTAATGTCCACATATTTATTACACAAAGCTTGCTGGTGAATAATACAGTGCAGGAGCTTTGGTTATAATCAGCAAATGTTTTCTTTAACTCACTGAATATATCCTATCAAGTAACAGTGCAAAACATGTTATGTAGGGAAGCCAGCTCTTGTGTTATGTTCATGTCTTCATCCACATCTCTAATGAATACAAGCAATTGAGAGGCGGAACAGCTGTCCAGCGACTCGTCAGTTGCTATTGAAAAATGGCGAAACTTGCTTGCATTTTTCGCTATTTGATTCACAATGTTTTCATCAATGTCTGCAACACGGTTAGCAATGATACTTTTGCACCCAATGCTACATCTTCAGATTGATTTGAGTTTTTCCTCAGCCACCTCCAACAAACATTTTTTCGTTGACAAAGGGATCTCCGCGGGCCGGTTGAGGGGACCTCGCGGGCCGCATCCGGCCCACGGGCCGTAGTTTGGAGATTCCTGACGTAGGGGAATGCATTCTGAATAAAATGACAATCCCCATGCAACGGCATTCAAGAGGGGCGGCCCTTGAGCAGTGGCAAGCAAGGAGTGGTCTCCGCGGGGCTGGCTACAGCGCGGCTGTGGGGTTGGGCCTGGTGCCAAGGCAGCTGTCAGCTTTCCATTTACTTTCTACCTTACCTATTCTCACTGTTCTCTGATGAGTTTTTTAATCCTATTTAAAGTTGATTTTCCTTACAGTATACCATTTTTATGAGTTTTTAAATGAAACAATTGAATTATTAATCATTGTGCATGGAAATGGGGAGCCGCACCATGACGTCAGAATGGGACGGAGTGGTCTAGCGGTAGAGAGCTGGACTGCTAACCCGTGAGTCTTGAGTTCGAATCCGGGTTCAAGTCAGTAGACCGTCCCTGAGTCCACCCAACTCTGACGGGTGCCTAACTCACGTTAGGGAAAGTAAAGGCGGCTGGGCATAGTGCTGACCACACTGTCTCTTCATATGCCGAGGTCACAGAAACAAGTGAACTCTACTTCATTTGCCCCATAGACCGTCAGGTTTGAAAGGGAAACTTTACTACTTTACTTTACTACCATGACGTCAGGGGAGCCGCATGCGCCTCGCGAGCCGAGGCGGGCCGCAGGTTGCCGACCGTGCGCTAGCATATTAAGTGAGACTTCAGTATTTACTCTGATATAAGAACACGTTCCTGTGAGCACATGTGGAAACATAGCTTTAACAATCTTCTTGCTATTTATATTACAGCTGGTTGATACTAGTGTCTTCAAATTTTTGAATTAACAGCTAACAATTACTAGGAGTTGTAATTATTATTTTGTTATTACTCACCAAATTGTTTAGAAACTTTTCTTGTAATTTTATTTTTTGTAATTAATTTTGACGTTTGTTTACTTGTTTTTGTTTCGATATATATTAATACTTTTTTCTTTTCTTTTTATCGTTTAATTTTATAATTACCTCCCTTTACAAAAAAATATTATATGTTTTTTCCCCTGACAAAAAAGTTCTACGCGCGAGATATTTGACGAACGAACAAGCGAAATCACCAATCATCAAATTAACTGCAACAACAGACCTTAGCTCAGACCTTAATTCACCATCCACACTGATCCCAAACACGTCTACAGCGAAGCCAATCCTTACAATAAACATCCTTATCCCAGAATCAGAAATGGACGCCAGAACAAATACAAAACGGAAAAAGAAGGACAGTCCCACAGATACAAAGCAAACAACAAAAAGTCTAAAAACCTCAAAATTGGTAGATGACAACACAAAATGCAGATTTTGCAGCCAGCAACACAAAACATCCACTGAAGCGGAAAAGCACGAACATAAAGTACACACGAAGCTCTTACAGTGCTATATTTGTGACGACAAAACAATCAACACAGACATATTCATGCACTATACAGAAAAACATTACGACGTAACAATGTATAGCTGTCAGATTTGCAACGTATTCCTCCCATTAGAGGGTATGAAGTTACATGCAAAAAAAAAACACCAACCGTGACGGAAATAGATCGCTCATCATACAGCTTCGAAGGAACAGTAATTAATTGTTTAACCCATTTACAATCTTAGACGTTTTGTATAGGGAAAATTTAAAATGACATGCTTAATTATAATATGGGGAAAATTGGATGCAATACTATGTATTACATGTAAAAAAAAAGAAAAAAAAAGTAACTGTTCTTATTAAAAAAAAAATCTATATATATTCTATACCGAATACGCAGACTCAATCATCATTAAAACATACCACAAACTAGTCGACTTATACAGAGCGCAATATCCACACACCATACAAACTACCCACGGAAATAACACATCTGGAAATAGATTCCGTCTAGACAGAATTTACGCCCCAGTGAACATAAAAATCAACAAAGTAGAACACCTATTCTCAACACTACAGTTTAGCGACCATACAGCAGTTCTGACAACTTTAAACAACGAACAAACACAAAGCAAAGTATCCCACACTAAAATCTCCCACACTAAATTTATCCCCCACTATATGCCCTCACACTAAATTATCCCCCACTAAATTATTTATCACTAAACTCTCCCACACTAAAATCTCCCACACTAAATTCTCCCACACTAAAATCTCCCAAATCTAAACTCGATACAAAAATAGCCTCCACCAAAATCGCCCAAACATTCAATTCCCCCATACTAGATTCGATCACACACTCCCCCCCCCCCCCCCCACCACACGTGAAACTAAAAATTGAGACAGATTATTATTGTTAGTCCCGAGAGTGCAACAAGGTGTAACACAGTTCAGAGCGGTTTGCTGTCGTCTTCTGTTTCTGTCAAAATATCTCGCGCGTAGAACTTTTTTGTCAGGGGAATAAAACATACAATATTTTTTTTCAAGGGAGGTAATTATAAAATTTAACGATAAAAAGAAAAGAAAACAGTATTAATATATATGAAAATAAAAGCAAGTAAACAAACATAAAATTAATTATAGAAAATTAAATAACAAGAAAATCATCTAAAAAATATGGTGATTAATAACACAATTTTAATTGCAACTCCTAGTAATTGTTAGATGTTAATCCTTAAATTAGTAGACTCTTGCATAAACCAGCAATAATATTAATACCAAGAGGATTATTTCAAAGATGTTGTAATTACGTCAACGTCTGCATGTTCTTATATTTGCGTATTTACTGAAGGCTCACATAATATGTTAGCGCAGGGGTCGGCAACCTGCGGCTCGCGAGCCGCATATGACTCTTATGTGTCATAGTGCGGCTCTCCAGTTCTATGCACAATGATTAATAATTGTATAGTTTCAGTTTCAAAATTCATAAAAATATTGTACTGTAATGAAAAACAACTTTAAATAGGATTAAAAAACTCATCAGAGAACATTGAGAAAAGGTGAGGTAGAAAGTAAATGGACAGCTGACAGCCGCCTTGGCACTAGGCCCAACCCCACAGCCGTACTGTAAGCAGCACCATGGCGACTATTCCATGTTTGCCATTGCCCAAGGGCCACCCTTTTCGATTGTTGCTACATGGGGAATCTAGCTATATATATAATTCTCTTCTGGGAGATGTTAGAAAACAAGCTGCAAGCGCCTCCATACAGTCCACTCTCCTTCTCTCTATCACTATCACTACCACCCCCACCCCACTCCCACATGGTCTGGTGAGTTGTGGTCACGCTAAATTAAATGTTTACAAATCGTAGTGACGGCTATTAGGGGCAGATAATTTAGTTTGAAACGATTTTAAACTTACAGGAGGTAACTAAGAGGAGGCTGCTTTCACGGGGAGGGGGGGTGTAGGGTTGGGGTTAGGGGAAAGGGGGGGGGGTGGGGTTAGTGTTTTAAAGCAAATATTTTCAGTGGCAGCATTGGTACTGTCGAATTCACAAAT